ATTACTCATTGTCTTTGCAGCTCTTCTCACAGTGCTCACATGCAACACCTAGTATGGTTCATCATGATGGGGGATGAAGTGCAAAGAGAGAGCTTGGCTGTGGAGTGTACCCTAGGAAAGAAGACCCACTGCCCTCCAAGTTCAGGCATTGCATGTCAGGGCAGTCAGAAGCAGTATGCTGGTTCCTATTCACAAAATCTGCAGAGAATAAGCCAGGACTGGAAGCCCTGTTCACTTATGATGAGAAATCTCTCTACTACAGAAGGGTTGAGTTGCCCTAACGCTTGTCTCCTGTGATTGTTGAATTAGCAAAGGCCAGTGGTCCTGTTGGTTTAGTTAGTGTGGATTCAGAACCTGAGCAGAGGGGTATGTGATTTGAATAAAGGGACACCATGGCCTGACTAGTTAACTCTATCCTCTCTGTCATGGGACACTTAATGCTGACATATATTCTAAGATGATGGAATAGGTTGATAGGCTATTTTGTCATTCTGTGAACATTGTAAAGTATACTTACACTGACTGAGATTGTACATCTCAGTTACTTAACATAGCCTTTTGGTGCCATTAAGACACATGATAAAAGTGGCACCCGTGGCTCATGCTTGTAATCTTAGTTACTTGGAAGTTGAGATCTGAGACTCAAGATCTCAAATCAGTATCAGCATGGGCAAAAAAATCTTTGAGACTCTTATCCCCAATTAACTAGTAAAAAGTCAGAAATGGAGCTGTGGCTCAAGTGGTAGAGCACCAGTTTGCACAAAAAATGCCAAGTGAAGCTGGATGCTGGTGGCTCAGGTCTATAATCCTAGCTACTCAGGAAGCTGAGATCTTAGGATCACCATTCAAAGCCAGCCTGAGTAAGACAGTCTGTGAGACTCTCATCTCCAATTAACCACCAGAAAACTGTAAGTGGAGCTGTGAAGTGGTAGAGCACTGAGCAAAAAAGCTCAGTGTCCAGGCCCTGAGTTCAAGCCCCACATCTGGAAAATAAAAGAAAAAAGAAAAAGGCTAATTGCACTCTTGCAATGCACTGAGTTCAAATCCCAGAACCAGCACACATGCGCCCTCACACACAGGAGACAGGATAAACATATGTGTGAATCACTATCAGCATAGCATGGCTGCAACTGAGAATGCTTTACAGTCAACTTGTTCCATAAATAGAAGTACACTCTAAAATAACACTAAGAAATATAGGTCAGTAACACGTAAGCTAGTGGCACATGTAATATCTGATAACATTATGTTAGCTTGAACACAGTTAATTTGTGCTGGACAGATTAGCATAACTATCCTGTGACTGGCACTGTAGTAGTTCTGTTTATGCCTCTCTCTCTCTTTCTCTTTCTTTCTCTCTCTCATACGCACACACAGAATGTATTGTGGTAGGGGTATGTCACAGGAAATTTTCATCTCTGTTATAACCTTTGGGATTGTTGTCATTTATGCATTTTGCTCCTGATGGACACATTTATGCAGTTAATGGCTATAGTTCTACAGAGAGACACATGTAGCACCCAGTGTTTGGGGGTCGAAGGTTCACCTGGGGATGTATGAAATGGCTATGTGACCTGGATCTCTCTTCTCTCATTTGCTCATCTAGTGAGTTGGGGTGAAGCTATCTTCTATGTAGACATAGTATGTTTCCTCATTGTACATCTCCCCTGCCACTGTCCAAGCCATACAAGTTCTTTTCATTTGTACAGAAAGGCAAACAGCTCTTTCTAAGCATTCTTTTAACTCCAGTATCTGAATGGGGGTGTGTGTCTCAGCCAAGAGGGCAAGGGGAGCATTCAGGAACACATTGATTCTGACATGCTTTAGTCTGGCGGTCCAGTCCTCCGCCAGCTGTCAGTATGCTGACAGATATGGAACATCCACCTTTCTGGAGGCCTCTCTTATACCCTTATCCCGGGCTCCAGAGAACACTTCCCTGTTTCTGGAGCACTGGACAGTCAGAAAGACAAGAGTATAGCCAGCAATATTTCTTTCCAGAATCCACTATCAGGCACTTCTGGTTGACAAGGACTTCAGTAGGTTCAGTGGATAGTTTCTCTACATTTCCAGGCAAATGGGCCAGTAGAGGGGAACAAGAGACCCTCCAGCTGGCCAGCCTGGCTTCTCTTGCTGCTTCTTACTATGGAGCAGGAAGATATCCAGTGTTGCTGGGCGTGGTTCAGGTTGATGTCACCACTGGTCACAACTCCCTGGTCTTCTTGCTGGCCCAGCCCCATGCAAGAGCATGAAGTCGCAAGTGTAAGACTTTGAGTGGTCTGTGGAAACCCAGGTAGTGCCCTCCCACATCTGTCCCCAGCCAGTCAGCCAGGACTTTTTTTGCTCAGGCTTGCAGCCTCTGTCAAACTCCTCTGTGTCCACCACCCAGACACATTGCCTCTCCACGTTCATTTTTATTGAAAGACTTGGAAACACAGGCATCATAATTTGTCACCACAGTCAATTTTTCCAAAATCACACACTGACATCGGTGTATAACAGAAACATTGTATGTGTGTGTATCCGTGTGTGTATGTACGCGCGCGTGCACGCGTGTGTGTGTGTGTGTGTGTGTATACTGTGCAAAGTACAAAGAATTCCCAGTCAGTTGGCTGAATTGGTTTTGGGGTGTTCCGCATGGCATTTATACCCTGCTGCCTGCCATCTCATGTGCTTCCCTGACCCTTGTGGCCCTGTCTCCTTGGTATCTGCTGACCTCACTCAGTTGGGCATGACTATATTATAATGCTCCTCAACAAAACAAAACAAAACACCAACATAACACCTTAGCCATCACATGCCACTGACATCTAGGAAGTTCCCAGCATGGGCCAGGATGAAGTATGGGCTTTATCTCACTAGCCACATCACATGTGTACTTGGAGTCAGGATGCCCCAAAGGACAAGGGCTTCTATTGCTGCTCTTGCTCGGGGATTCTGTGGTCATGAAGGCGGAAGGGCCTGAATGTTTGGAAAGCACTCAGATGATTCATGGGGGTGGGTTGTGTAGTTATTTCCCCTGCCTGGCATCACTCCAGGAGTACCGCCCAGCCTGAGAGCAGACCCTAGTGCTGGCTGGGCCTACAACATCATTATTCTTCTCAAGATGGTTCCAGTGTCCACCTCTGATTCTGCCAGGGGAGGGGCCGGTTAATGACTTCTAAAGACACAGTGATACTTGGCCCAGCCCTCTATGGTGAATTGGGGTGTTCTTCTGGGCCAGCTGTCACTCGCTTACCACCACGTTTCCACTATGAGCACCACAGGAGTAGTGGCTGGATGAGGAAAGTAGGCCCGAGTTAGTCTATGTAGTTGCTTTGTAGCTGCCCTCCTTTAAGGAAAAATACATTTTTTATTTTACAGAAACTTGAGTTAGTTCTGGTTCTGCTGGAAAATATGTCTCACCTACGGTGTTAATCTGTGCACCTGTTGGGTGACAGCATGAATTTAAACACGCACAGGATTTTTGTGCATGGGTAATCGAGTGATTTGGCAATGATGGTGAGTAGATACATTCTGGTTGTTACTAACCCAGCACATAGAGTTCCCTGTGTTTAAGCCAGATTTCCTCTCTGATTCAGGACTCATTTCTCATGTCCATTAAGTCTATTATCTGGTGGGAAAGGAAAAAGCCCCACATACCTTCTGTGTGACTGCCCCATGTGGCAATTGTAAATAGCCAAGTTATACCCCCAAATAGGAACTCTGAAAATGAGTGTTCCCCATTTCAAAGGCTTCATGCCAGGCAAGAGATTGCATTTCTAAAATGTGTGGCATCTCTGAAAATCAGTGACACCTTCTGCTCCTGGAGGCTAATTAATTCAGTATAACTTAAGAAGTCTGAGTAGTTTGTATAAAAATGTATGTAAAGAGGATATAGATTGCAACTTCGGAGATGAGAAAAATGTGTCCCTAAGGTACACACCTTAAGGACAAAGTTGTCTCCTAACAGAGTTTCTCCGGGCAGTTTGCTCGGGAAGAGACTCATCACATTAATGAACACAGATCCATCAACCCACTCAGGGGATTGTTCCAGGACAGAGGTCACCCCTTCTGCCTCTCTCCCTTTCCAGCATCCCCAGATCCTTAGAGTTGCCTCTGCAAGTCTTCAGCCACACATCAGACTTGCATTCTCACTGTGCTTCAGCTATCCAGCGTAGGAAGCTTAACACAGCCGGACAATGGGAACAGTTATTTATTTTTTTAGAAGGAGAAAAAAAATCTTTGCAAGATGGTGATTGTAGCTGTGGTCAAACAAAACAAACAAAAACCTTGCTAATTTTGTCGGTAAGAAATCAGATTTTGAGACTGCAGTGATTCTTTCTGAAACAATAAATGGAAGCTTCTACCTTCCCGGGCTGGGGTTGGCCTATGTGTTCTCTGTACTGCCACATGAAAGGACATTTGTGGCAGTCCTCCTCGACATGTTTCCAGTTCTTGAGTAATAATTATCCCTGTCTAGACAGAGCCTGGGGTTTTGGTAAGGGTTTAAAGAAGTTGGCTCTTTCCAACTCCCTCCAATCACCTCAGCAGAGCACTAACGCTCACTTCACAGAGAGCAGTGGCCAGCGCCGATGCTGAAGACTGGCTTCACAGCGGGCTTCAGAATTTGAATAGTAAATATAAAAATCCTGCCTTTGATGTTACCTCAGACTTTTTTTTTTACTTTCAAGCTCACCCAAGTCATTACTAGTTTTACAAAAAGGCAGCACCAGATGTATGAAAAATAGGCAATGTCTGACCTATTAGAAATATATAAAGTCGAACAGCTGTACATTAAAAAGATGTTGTAAGAAGGAAGCGATGTAGAGGGACAGCAGTGAACACAACTGTGTTGAGTATAATCCTGGTAGGAGACAAAGCCACAAGGATTCTGCTTGGCTACCCAATAGGAGCCATGAGGCTGGCCTTTCAGTGACTGGTGAACGCCCTAGCTGAGGGGAGAGGCAGCAGGTGACTGAGGTATATAGAGGGCTGACATCCAGGGAAGACACCTTCCAGTGCTCTTGGCCCCAGCCCACCGCCCAGGCCTGCAGCCTCTGCAGCTCCTCATCTTGTGTAGGTGGCAAGCACTGCTTGGGTGACAGAGGACACAGCAGCACATATGCCCGCATGGGCACCTTCCTACTAGGGCTTGGCATGGCCTTAAAGTACACCCTGGTGTGCTCTTAGATGGGGTTTCAGGTGAAGGTGTACCCACCCTTGGTCCCTACCCCAGTCCAGGTGTTCCTGCCAGGTGCCCCTGAAATGACCTGGGGCCTAGGGCATGATGGGTAGAGCAAGTCCCAGAAAGATCAGGAGGCAGTTATGTGCTCTTCAACTTCAAGGTCTTCTGTGGTCCACAAGAGGGAGTGATGGACAGACTGACAGCTGGAACAAGCTGGGGCAGTTTCCTGGAGACCCTCCGTGAAGCCAGCAGTGCCGAACAAGAGCACCAGGCTTCAAAAGCTCTCCACAAAGCTGCCAGGGAAGAGGCCTGTGCGGCCATTCCTCTGTAGAGTCCCTTTGTACCAACCATCCTCTCGCTTCTTGTGCACGAAGACAATGTCGCCTTCCTTCAGCTCGATCTCCGCTTCACTTTGGGGTGGGTAGGAGACCACTACCCGGTACCTGAGGGAGACAAATGACACAGTGGTGCACAATTCAGGCCACAAATGTCCTAGATCCGGGGATGGTCTGTGACTCCTCTTGTCCCACAGCCTGCCCACCCACTAGACTGTGCTCTGGGCTCTCCAAAATTTTCCTCCTCCTCTCTTTCCTCCATTAAGCTTTTGAAATTTCGGGCTACCTCCTTCACTTTATACAATTCTGTGTTTTGCCCAAATACTTTTTCACTTGTTATTTTTTTTTAATAAAGAAGAAACGGCTCCTCAGCTTCTATATCTAAAATGTAGCTGGAATGTTTGTTATTTAGAACCCAGGGCCATGCAGGCCTCTCCACCCCACATCCTCCTTTTCGCACATCCTGAGATACGGATTCAGTGCTGGCTTTGGGACCCTGGGCTTATATACTCACCTGAGAGTCATTCTCTGTATCTGAAAAAATCAGCCCCTCTCCTATGTTACTACCTCTCAGGTGGTTAGGGGCCAATGTGGTTGGGGGAAGATGCTTTGAAGATTGTTTTGCTCAAATGGTCATCCTTTCAAATTGAGCTCCAAAAATCAAAAGATGATCAGAGACTCGGCACCTGAACTGTCAGAGATCAAGATCAAAAGTGCTAACAAGGGTTTTCCCACATGTCATTTCTCTAAGACTTGGGTACTAGATGTACCCTTTCAGACCAGCTCCATAAAATGGAGCCTGAGCCTCCTTGTATGGCTGTGCCTGCTGATCACCTGGAGAGATTGCTGTGGGCTAGATTAACTAGCTGCAGCTCTAGGTGCAAACCTGTGGATTTGGGCAACTGCTATTGGCATCTAAGACCAGGGTGTGGCTGTCTGTTTGGCACCTTATCAAGGATCCAGTGCTTCAGGTGCTGCACAAGAACAGGCCTTAAAAAGCACTTAGCTACGGTCTTGACAGAAGTATTTCTGATATAATCCAGCAGGCCTGTCTGAGCCCTCTATGCTACTAGGCTTTACTTTTGTCTATACAGACTCGAATAAACATTCACATAGCTTGGAGTATCCCAAGGTTGAATTTCCCAAGATGGTCCTAGCTCCCCTCTGGCCTCCAGGAGAATTTGTGCTTTGTTCTAGTTACACCTGAGAGCAGGGCCCAAAGTCACTCCAATGACCAATCTCAGTGGCTTCACACACACCAACAACCTCTTCACACTTTCTGAGAATTTTCATGCCCTATTGTCCTGAGCTCTGCTTGCTTCCCTCAACTCTTCCCTGTTCCCTTGCAAATGCCCAAATACTCATGTATAAAGAGTTCGGTGCTCACTGGACACTACTGTATTGTAGGGAATTAAATTTCCCCATGTATTGTAGTTCTGATTACAATCTGGCCAAGGGTGAGGAACAGGGTTCTAGAGCAGTTATACTCCCTGAGGGTAGAGTAAAAGAGTACCTACTGGTACTCTACGTCTAGCCCAACAGGAAATTCAGCCTGCCCTCTGATACCCAAGAGAGTTCCAGAGAGCATCTGGATGCCCCATACCCTTAGCCTTCAGGGTGGGTGATAGTTGCACAGTAATTGCTGAGAAGAGACTACCATCCTGGGGAGGGTCTCTAGATCCTAAATTTAGGAGGTAAGTTTTGTGGAGAGCAGAGTATAGTTGTTCTCTCTTCTTGAAAAACTCAATACTGAAAGTTACTCCAGATACTCATTTTGTTGAGATTGCCTTATCTGGGCATTACTTAGTCTCCTGTAATGTTTCCAAGGACACTGGGGCTTCCTGAGGGGCAGAAACTCAGGACTCATCCTAAACAGTGTCTGTGATCTCTGCATGCGTGGGCCTCTTCTCATCCCTGTCAGTCCCACAGGTATGATAGAAAGGCACTGGTAGATTCTGGCCCTTTCTGCTCAGAATGCTTCAGAGCCTCCCATCTCTCTCACAGAAGCCCAAATTAAGAAGGAACTTGTGTGTTCCAGTCTCCTTTCACACTTCTGCTTTTCTTTGCTTCTCCAGCCAACTTTACCACCCACTTGTCTCTCACTCAGGGATGACCAGTACACAGAAGCTATGGGTCATCTTGCTCCTCAGCTGTTAGTCAGCTCTTTTTAATTTTTTGAATTATCTTTAAATAGTTGTACAAAGGAGGTGCCCTGTAACAAAGCAGTTTATGAATATAATGCATCTCAATCAGTGTTACCTGCTTCAACATTCTCACCTCCCTTCGACCCACTTCTTTCCTTACTTCTGATCATTGTGTAGCATATACGATGAATTCTTGAGTGCATACTACCTGCTTCTCCCCTTCATTTGTCTGCCTCTCCCCTTCCCCTTCTTGGATGTACTTATTTCCTGGTGTTGATTTTGTTGGGTTTTGACCTAATGTTTCTAAAATATTATACTATTTGAGCTCTCTATGGAGTCTATTATACTTCAATAATTCATCTATGACCACTTGCATACCACCCAACATGTTTACTTACTGATTTATAGGCACATTCTGTCTACCACAAATAAGGGAAACCTTGCAAACTGTTTCTCTGGGTCTGGCCATCATCAAGAGAACAAACAACAACAAACACTGGCAAGGATGTGGCCAAAGGGGAGTTCTAATACTGATGGTGGGTATGTAAGCTTGTTCAACCCATCTGGAAAGAAGTCTGGAGGTTCCTCAAAAAACTAAACATGGAACTACCCAATGACCCAGCAATCCCACTCTTGGGCATTTATCCAATAGAGCACAAACAAGGCTACAGTAAAATCATCAAACAACCATACTCATTATGTTCATTGGAGCACTATTCGCTATAGCTAAGTTATGGAATCAGCACAGATGCCTCTCGATGGACGAATGGATCAGGAAAATGTGATATATATATATATATATATATATATATATATATAATGGAATTTTACTCATCTACTAGAAAGAATGATATTGTACCATTCATAAGGATATGGGAAGACTTGGAAACAATTATATTAAGTGGAGTCGCCTCTTTTGGAGGTTGAAGGGTGCATAGGCAGCTGGCTGGGAAGGACAGTTCATCTACAGCCTGTTCCCACTTACAGAGTAGAGTGTCTGAGCTCAGGTCTGTAGCTGTAGCTCCATCTATCATGCTCTATGCCTTCCTCATGAGTCTGGACTCAACTCCTTTTGTGTCCCCAAAGGGCCTCTGAGTGCTAGAGTTACCTAGATCAAGGGGTCATACCCTGCCCTTCCAGGCCTTCTGGCCTGGAGAAACTCCATCTAAGATGAAGTGAAGAGCCTGACCGATGGCACCTGAGCTGAGCCTCAAAAGCCTAGGATCTGATTATAAAGTCTTGTTTTCTGAAATTTTCAGCCTACAGTGGCAGCTGAATGAAGAGGTCAGCCCTGTTATCACCTCAGAATAGGCTGAGCTAAGGAGTCTTCTTAGGCCTAGCCACGGGGAGTTCACAGATTATGGCATACAAGCCTCCCATGCTTCAGGCAAATGAAAAGATGAGGGTGGGAACTCTGAGGTTGATTTGGTGGGCATGGAGTATTTCTATCCCTGAGGAAGCCCAGCTAGGCCCAGCATCCTAAGGCCAAGTGCCTTGGAATAGCTGAACGGTGCAGAAGGGCTAGACCACTTTCCATCACTGTCTAACAGCGAGCCAGAATCTGTCTCTCAAGGGAGTAAAGGAGAGAAACCAGAATGCCTCCTCCAGGCCTGCAAAGACTGTCTGCTGGCCCCTCACTGTGGGGGGAGAGAGGAACTGCTGGGATACAGACAGCAGTTTACAAAGTCAGACAGCCCACATACAAACTGCACCGTCCCTGCCCCTCCAGCACGGCATGGAGGCTGTGTGAGTCCAGGAGGACCAGCGCCCCTCCTACCTGTGGCTCCCTGCCATCCCATACTTCCTTTCTGAATACCTGCTCCTTCCTACTCTTCCCCAGGGAAAGAAAGGCAGAGTGTGAGATGATTCCTCAGACTCTGAACTCTAGTTTGGGCTTTTACTTCAACTGCCAGATGTGAAACAAACAAGCATCTTAAAAAAAATGTAATTCATTAGAAAGAAGTAATTTGGCACTTCTGAGCTATTCCATGATTTAATGAGCTTAGATGGATGTGAGCTGAATTTATCTCAGACAAGTGTTTAATGTTTCTGTCCAGATCATTCCCAGCTTCTGAGCTCTTCATCCCACTGCATGAACGTAAATGATGTTCTCTGTTACATAGGGCCTGGTGAGCAGCTGAGGATAATAGCTACTCCCATGTCATGATCATGGCTTCATAAATGTGTGAGATAATCTACCCTGCCAAGTATAAATACGGCTATCATCCCCTCGGTGACAACAGGGATTACAGGTGGCCATATATCTAACCAGTAGGCTTTACAGAACATTTGCTTCTATGTGGCTTAGGAGAAGTGGGCCCCTGAGTGGTGGCATGTAGTGATGCTGGCAAAGCATCAACCTGCTGACCAGACTACATCTACATCCTGGACACTGAACTATGCTATCAGCTTGTGCATAGATGCTCCACAGCTTACAATAGGGTTACTCCTGATAAACCCATTATAAAATGAACTTATGGTAAATTTTATCTTTGCACTGGTGACTCCTGCCTGAAATCCCAGCTACTCAGAAGGCTGAGATCTGAGGATTGCTGTTCAAAGCCAACCCATAGTAGGATATCTCTACTAAACCAAAGAAGCCAGAAGTGGATCTGTGGCTCAAGACCACTCACCTTGAGTAAAAAAAGCTTAGGGACAGTGCCCAGTCCCTAAGTTCAAGCATCAGGAACAGCATGAAAGTATGGTTAAGCTGAAAATGTTCTTAATATATCTAACCTACAGAAAGCAATACTTCTGGCCACTCCAAGTGGGGGCAAACTCATCTAACAATAGACCCAAGCTATAATAAAGTAATGAATTGCAGTAATTGAATTATCAAGTAATTTACAAAGAAACTGCACTGAACGTGAAAAACAGGACCATCATAAAGTAACAATATCATAAGTTGAACCGTGTAAATCAGCATCTGTCTGTGTTAAATTAATGACAAACAAATGGCTTGGAAAGGCCCACAGTTGAAGGTGCAGGACTACTGAGATTGCAGGGCTAGCCAGACAGGTCTGGGGGAATTGCCAGGTATGCTTTCTGGAGTGGCTGCCATGGATTTGCCCTCTGCACCACTTTCAACTTCAGCTTTCTTTCTCTGAGACTACTGAGGAGAGGGCAGCCTCTGTTGTCTCCCAGATCCTCTGGAGAGAAGGTGTTGAGACCTTGGGAATCTGCCCATAGGAGCAGGCAGGACATTGTTTGTGTTCAGCCCCTTTATCCTCAGCTCTGTGGGCAGACACTTCCACATTGACTGTGCTGCTCATATTTATACTGCTGTAACATGAGTGTTACTCACAGCCTGGAGGGTCAGAGCCTGGAGGGTCTTCTTGTCCTGGTCCAAGAAGCCAATATTTCCACAGCCACATCCTTAACACCAACTTGCTAGGCTTCCAAGTTACTAGGTGGCCTGTGGCTGTGGAGGCTGAGGAGAGGCAGTTTCTGGGAAACATCAGTAGTTTGATCTCAGGCTGTATTTTTCAAATGCTTTTCTTTAATGAGCTCTTGAGGACAAAGAAGGTGCCTGGAGCATCTGAGTACAATAACCTCCTGATTAGAATGAAGATTCTGAGAATGGCAGTGATCTCTAAATTTGCTACAGTTAATCAGAGCCTCCAAGGAGGTTTTTCTTAAGAACAGAAATTTCATAATCTCTTATTGTGGAGATTAGAAGTCATGTCTTAAAGATAAAACTAGGATTCTTGAAAGGCAGGAGTCCTAGGGGATAAGTCTGTTCACTCTCAGGAGTAATAAGATCAACTCTGTGACTTCAAGGGACCAGGACCCATGTTTAGAATCACAGGCAGGTGGTATTGGTCCCAGATAGAGGAAGAAAAGTAGAGGGATAGGAAGAAAAAAGGGAATATGTGAACAGTACATGTATTTGTGTATGTACGTTATGTGTAGGTATGGTATTTGTTTATGTGTTTGGGAATGTGGCATGCATTTATATGTAGGTGTGGTTGTGTATGTAGTTTTTGATGTGTCTGGGTATGGGGTACAACTATGTGTTGGTATGATATATGCCTGTGTTTTATATGGTGTATATAGCATATCTGAATGTGTGTTTAGATTCTATGTCTTTGTATTAGGAATTTGCGTGATGTATGTGGATAGGTGTGTGTAATATTTCTGTACAATGCGTGAATGTCCAGTGTGTGTTTGAGTGTTGAGTGGTGTTCAGTATGATACCATTCATCTGAGGGTCTGTGAATTCATGAGAGAAAGGGACCCACATGGGTGACACCATGACTGGGGGAAAATGTGAGCACATGAGGAGCTTGGAATCACATGCTGACATCTGGAAGGGCTGAGAGCTTAGGCTCTGTGGTCAGAAAGCCTTCTCTTGTTCATGTTCTGTAAGCAAATTGAAAGCAAGCTTCTTAGTCATGTTAGGTATCTTTCAGCTGGGTGCTGGTGGCTCATACCTGCAATCCTATCTAATCAGGAGGCTGAGGTCTAAGGATCCAGGTTCAAAGCCAGAACATGCAGAAAAATCCATGAGACTCTTATCTCCAATTAACCACCAGAAAACTGGAAGTAGTGCTGAAGCTCAAAGTAGTAGAGTTCTAGCCTCGAGCTCAGAGATAGTGCCCAGGCCCCCAGTCCAAGTCCTGCATCCGACAAAAAAGGAGAATTCTTTCTTTTTCTTCTTAAAAATTATTCAATAGGCCCTTTCTTTTTTGTTGCTGTTGTTGCAAATGATGCAATATCATGTTAAGTCAGGCCCAGGGAAAGAAAGGATGTGTGTTTCCTCTCAAATGTGGAGCCTGGAATTAACTTATAAATATATAAGTAAACACTTTGGGGTGGTATTCAAGTATACATAGAAATATTAATTGAAATATAGTAGATTCAGGGGAGAACTCAAATGGTGTAATTTCATAGAAAGACTAACTCAGAGTCTAACAAAATAAACACTAGGAAACTGGTAGTCAAAAAGAGTGGGGAGGGGTGTGACCAAGGGGATGGAGGTAGATGAATGAGAAAAGGGGTCAGAGAAGAATTCAGTCATACAATTCAATTCATACCCTACAAAATTAAGAAAATTAAGATAAGGGGTGGGTTGGGTGGAATGGGGGAGAGATAAAAGGAATGGCATTGACCAAGATACATTGTATTCATAAATAGTTTTGTTGAATGGGGACTTCTGTATGCAAGTTCTGTATACAACTTCTGTATATATATATGCGTATACATATACCTATACACACACATACAATTCAACAGGATAGCACACATACATTCAGGAGATGCTTAGTGCAGAGCCTGGCCATCCTGGTGTTAATGGCAAAAATTCATCCCTACTACAGACTATCCTCAGTATCAACTTGCATAGGACACTCAATATATATAATATATATGAGCCATCATAACTCTTAACTGTGGTTATGAAGGCAGATTTGAACTTAGCTGTTCATCAGAAGACAATATCTGCTCTTCCTCTAGAGTCCTGAAGAGATTGGTTCTCCTTGTGTCCCCAGATCTCAACACCACCCTGGGTGGCATCATCTAGAACTGTGGGTTGTGTGTGGTCAGAGAGCTAGGTATATTGTTATACTTTGACATGGTTGAAAAAGAAATTCAAAGATTTCACAGCATAAGGAAGTTATGGGAAACCTACATTTCAGTGTTTCTACATAGAGCTTCCTGGAACACCACACCTTTGTGTACATTTGGTCCATGGCAGCTTTCCCTCTACACAGGCAGAGCACATGAGTTGTCACAGGCCTCCTAGATCCTACAACATAGCAATATTTACTATTGTGCCTCTGACAGAAAATATGTGTTGCTGTCTCAGCCTCCAGTGCAGATGATCTAGATGGAAGCTTGAAGTTTCCCACCCCTCACAACCACAGGGCACCTGTAGCCATGGTCTCAGAGCTTAGCAGGTACTTTGCAGGAGCCAGTATGGCTGAATGGCAGAGTAGACTCTAGTAGACATTCCAGGAATGCTTTCTTGGGAGAGTTTTCGTGTTTTATTATTATTATTATTATCATTGTCATTTTCATTATTATTAAAACTATCGTGCAGTACTAGGGCTTGACCTCAGAGCCTGGGCTCGGTTCTTGAGCTGTTTTGCTCAAGGGCTTTTGCTCTATCATTTGAACCACCTCTCCACTTCCAGTTTTTTGATGGTTAATTGGAGATAAAAGTCTCACCGACTTTCCTACCTGGTCTAGCTTTGAGCCACAGTCCTCAAGATCTCAGCCCTCTGGAGTAGCTAGAATTACAGGCGTGAGCCACTGGTGCTCAAGTCATGTTTAGGCAAAAATGGTTGAATATTGGCAATTTTGTATAGTTCAACCTAATAAAGTATATACTCTTGAAGCCAGTTTTGGGGAACTATTTTATATTTTTTCAACAATATATTATTATTATTTTAAGTAATTACACAAAGGGGTTGCCATTCAACAAATCCGTTTATAAGTATAATGCATCTTCACTGGTATCACCCGTTCATCATTCTCCTCCATCTCTCTCAACCCGACATTTTATAATTCTAATATATCACAGTGGACTGAAGCTGAAGAAGCGCTGTTCTTTGGGTAAAGCACATAAGCCTACAGGGGACTTAGCCCTGGAGTCCTGTCCAGGGTCCTCAGAGTTAGGGAGCACAGTGTCCTCACTCTAATTTCTTGATTTTTTGCACACAGAACCACACTGGTTCTGACAAATTTCCTGATGAATTCCCTATAATCCCTAACCCAGGAGCCAGGTGGATTGAAACAATGACATGTGCTCTAGGTCCCAAACACATTGCACCTGATGTGTACCAGCCACCCTCGGGAGCCAAGTGTTGTTTTGGAAAACTTGACCTTCCCTGTTTCCCCAATGGGACTCCAGCCTCAGGTGTTATAGGACTATGAGACCCCCGCCCCCCTCTTACCTCTCTCTGGGTAATGGCTTGGGCTCAGGGCGGATGGCAGCCATGCAAAGAGGTGCTTGTCGGGAAGGAGATGAGGAGAAGTTTAGATCCAAGGAGCCTGCTTTTCTGTGTAGAGGCTCCAACCCCATGGCCCCCTGCATCTCGCTCTCTATAGGACAGGAGCCGGCTCTGCCGTGGATGGACAATGGGGACACTTCAGGGCCCATGGCACCCTGGAGTGAAGAATCCATGACTACCTGGGGGTCATGGGTTGGAGAGATGGATGGCGGAGAACGTGTCTTCTTCTTGGTAGATGCCCCAGCTAGAAGTTTCAGCAGCCCGCTCTTCTTCTCTTTCTGAAGAAACAAAGAAGTTGAAACAGAGTGGATTAATGCTTCTGGGAGAAGTACCGTTCTACTTGGAACTTTTAAATATAATTCTGTAAAGCTGACCAGAGAAAGACAACACAGTTAAAATGGAAGGCTTATTTTCCTTCTTTTCTCAAGACCTGGCAGTAATGTCTCAAAAAGACCATGAGTGCACAAGACAACCAACACTCCCCATCATGGAGTCTGAAGCACCTCAAAACCTTACCAGCTGTATCAGAGGAGCCCACAGCCAACATGATGGTCTTCGTCCTGTAGGATAATGACATTGTACCTGATGGCTTCATGTAAACCTAGGGCTATCGTGGGACCTGGATCTCAATAGGAGAGTTTTGGAGAGTCTGTGTCTTGACCTGCACGAGATCCCTTTAGGGCAGGGCTTACTGCACACCTATAGTTAGTCTTTCTGCCTTGGGTATCTTGACATAAGCTCCTGGTCCTGAGCTATGTATGGCATGCACCTTTGGGACATAGTTTGGAAAGCCAAGAAGCATTTTATTTAGATATTCTTCTGCATGAAATGACATAGGGGTGTTATGGCAAATCTCCTATATCTGCCAGCCAGGCAGAAGTGCTTGTCCCCAGCACAGGACAAAACCTTCCTGAGAGTTGCTTCCTTCCATAGTAGCAGCTGAGGGAGGATTGGGATCTTGTGCAGTGGTGTCTTTTGCTCTGAATTCCTAACTGAAAAATTTCCTTGTTAAACTTCTTCCCTGGCTGGTGTCTTCCTTTCTTTAAGAGAAAGAGCTGTTAGAGTATCAGATTCAAGTACTATCAGGCCACAGCTCCTTACATAAAAACCTAGGCAGAAGCTGCTGGACATGAACCTGGCATGGCAAACAATGCCCGAGGTTTGAAAAAGACTCGAGATGTTCAAAAGAAAGAAGTAAGGACCAGGGGAAACATGATGTTCTTATCTTTGTTGAGTCTAGCTCCAAGGTTTTAAGAGCTTTTTGATTATTATTTTATGTTTGGAAACCTTCCTGTCAGGGATGGGGAAAGGGTAATTAAAAGCTATGCTCTACTTAAATTTTCATGGAGAAAGGGCATGGCTCTGAGCTGCTTGAAAATTCAGTTACGGAAAAAGCAGAGAAGGTTTATAACAGTATAAATATGCAGCAGATTTTCAGAAAGGGCAGAAGGATAGAAGATCTACAATGAATAAAGAGAAAAAAGTTAACAAGCCAATTAAAAGAGACAGAAAAACTGTGTGCTAAGCTATTGGGTATTTTCAACATGAAAGCATATTTTCAAAAATACTGTCCTGGCAAAAGAAAAAAGATTCAAAGGATCAGTTCATAAAATAGTAGGGAATAGGAGGCAGCAGGCAGCAGGTACCAATCTGACTGTGCTTTCTCTGGCCTCTGGTTTGGATGGAAGAGATGCCCACTTAATCATGTTGCTTTTCTTGCTTTTATCAGGGGTGAAGCTTTCGCTCAGTGAAGTCACAGCCTGTAGCTTTGCACTGAACACTTTGAACAGGGATCCCAAAAGGACAGAACAACAAGAAGACATTGGTCCTTCAAAGCAAAGCCACATACAACATCATCATCATCATCATTATAGTTTGCTGGACGCAGAACCAAAGTAAAGAGCAAAATGAACACTGTTCTCCTTCACTTAGGTTAAAAAAAAAACAGCTGGTAGCTGGGAGCTGGGCCTGGCAATGGGTCTGTATGATCAATCATGTTCAGCATGGTGTGAAAGAGCCCCTCAAGCGAAGAGACATCTCCCTGAGGAATCCAGGACCATACGCAGCTGCATGGCTTTGATCCATGAGGAGCACAGGCTATGGCAACAGGTTTGGATCCAGATGGAGCTGGGTGCCCATGTCATTAGGAGGAGGCTGATTTTGAATGAACAAGTTCCTCATCTAACCTTAGCCTTGGTTCCCCCATATGTAAAATAAGCTACATGGTGGTTGAAATACAATAATTCTATTGCTATCTCTTTTTCGGGAACACTCTGTGAGCCAGGTGCAGTTCTAAGTCTTGCCAATATGTTTCCCATTTTATTCCTAAAGAAACTCTACAAGACAAATGGAGGGGCTGGGATGGTACACAGTAGACGTAGGGTAACTGGCTAGAAAGTTGAATTGCCTGGATTTGAACCTAGGACTTCTTGAATCCAAATTTTAACTATGAATCCGAGGCCTATGCTCGGAGACATAAATAAGACAGTGCATGTAATCCCAGGGGGATATTATGTTACCCCGTTGTCTGTTGCTATGAAAAAGTACCTGAGTAATGTATTTTTAAAAAGAGATTAATTTAGCTCAGGTTTAGAGGCCAAAAAAGCCAGTGGCCCCATCAGTTGTGCCTTTGGTGTAGGCCTCCTGGACACTGTGGGAGGTAGAGAGATTACATATCAAGAGAGAAACCCAGGCAGATTCAGGGGCCAGGCTTGCTTTTTAAAAATTCACTTTTGAAAAATGTTTTTTAAAATTTTATTTTATTGTAAAGATGTGTACAGAGGGGTTACAGTTACATGAGTAAGGTAAATTTCTTGTTGAACATTGTTACCCCCTCCTTTGTTTTTCTCCTACTATCTCTTTCCTCCCCTAACTCAACCACACCTCCCCCCACAGAAGTTGTAAAGTTCGTTTCCAACATAGAGTCTTTTGAGTATCATTGTTGCCACGGGTCATCCCAAATTAGATAAATGTATATACCAAAATCAAATACCACAGATGGAAAGGTTATTGTTAAGCTGTTTCATATGGAAGTTTTGCATTTGAAAACAATAGGGAAAGTTCATTTCAACCTGATCTGGTAAAACATTTCATTTTTAGTATTTTCAGCTGAGGATGACAGCCCTAAACAGAAGTTCCTGAGTTGTAGACAAGGAATATATTCAATGTCATCCTGAGCTGAAAATACTAAAATTCACCTTAGTGGGAACCAGCAGGGACTTTGGAAAGCCACACTAATTATTTCTGGGGGTGCATCTCCAATGACCTAATCAGCTCCCACTAAGCCCAAAGTTTTCAAGGTCATATCATCTAAGCATGGCCACACTGGGTCAAACTTCAGTACATGAGCTGGTCGGGGACACTGCACTGAAGGCACAGCTGGCAGTAAGTGGCAGCAGGAAATGAATCCTGCTTGTTCAGATTTTCATCTGAGTCAATTTATGGATGAACATGAGGTGCTTACACAGAATGGTCAATTACTCACCAACTTCGTGGCACAGGCAAGCACGTCATTCCCCTGAGTTTGTTCAAGGGCGGTTTTGAGAGTAGCTTTCTTAGTGTTGCTGGGATGCTACCAAGTGACACTGGCATAGCCGTGGCAGTTCCCAGGATAGAACCTGCAGAGATTTCCACCAGAGGCAAGCCTTGCATGCCAGAGCCCTGCCACCATGCAAGCCTTCACTTCCTGTTAATACAAGCCTAAGCAGAGGAACTACAACACGTCTGTTTTTATTATTTTATTTGACCTTTTTCTGGTGCCAAGGATGGAATCCAGAGCCTTGCACGTGCTGGGCAAATGCTCTACCAGTAAACTACCTTCCCTGACCAGCCCCAGCCCCAGCCCCAGCATATCGTTTAGTTACAAGGATGATATAGAATGACTAAAGAGCCAACTACTGTCTACAATCTTCTAGAACACTCTAGTGTTGAGAATATTCACCAAATTTCCAAAACAGGCTGGTCTGGATCAGTTACAGAGAATATCGCAGAAGCTCTAAACCACTGCGCGCCCCCCTCCAAAAAAAAAAAACCAAAAAGACATCAATCTCTGACTGAGGACAGGAATGCCATCAATGTGCTAGCGAAAGACACTGGGTGTCTTCCAGCTGTCGGCAGGCACAGTTAATATTGTGACAGTGGGGTGCCTGGAGCCACAGTCCTAGAGAGAAAAGTGAAGGTATGCTATGCCCATAGGCTGAGCTCTTGACTCCAGGACCCAGTGTTTTCAAGGGACTGGCATTCCTGTCACCTTCTCCGTTTCTTTGGTTTCTGCACTGTTAGGGCTACTTTCTGACTTTGTGATCATCTGTCTATATCCTTTGCCAGCACTAGGGTAAATGTGCTGCTTAGAACCGCTGGCCAAATGTTTTTTTTTTTATTTCATGCAATTGTTTCTAACACATTTATAAGATTATTTCTTTGTTGCTTTGTATGTCCTTCCCCCACAGTATAACCCCTGCTTCCACTGTATTTGATATCGGTATAATTTGTGGCAGGGAAGAGGAAAAACAAGTCATTTAAATAGGGATACAGGTGGACCCCTTGCAACAATGAGATGTACAAGTCGTTATGTCGAAAACGACCTTTACAACTTTGGTGCAGGATGGGGGGTGGGGGGGGAGGATGGGAAGAGATGGGAAGGGGAAACAAAGGAGGAGGCTACAATGCTTGATAAGAAATGTACTCATTATCTTGCCCATGAATTGTAACCCCTGTGTACAGTATTTTCACAATAATAATAAAAAAAGAACCCCTGGCTTTTTGCCTACCAGCTGGTATCTATCTATGTGCAGCCACAACCCAGGCTTGGCTCTTCAGTTCCTCTTCTATGAAAAGACTATCTCTAACTTAGCCTCTCAGATGAGCTTTCTGTCTTGTATCTGTAACTTCATCTAGGCAGTTTTTGAAGATGAAAACCATACAAATAAAACTACCAGAAACATGCCTTAAAGAGTCTCTTTCTGCTCAGCCTTAGCTAAAGAGAGATGAGAATATCTTTCATTCCGGTCCCACACTCAGGGAGTCACGGGCAGAGAAGAGGAATGAGACCAGGATAGGAGCTAGGTGACCTTTGTGTCCTTGTACTGCACAGAGGACAGCAGTCTGTTCTTTATCATTACACTTCCACCGCCAGTGGCACTGTCTGAGGCACGGTTATTGGGTGTCCCACTGGGACCTGCTCTAGGTGGGGCAAAAGTGAGTCTCACACTCACTTCCCTGTGACCTTGGATCTCTGACCTCATGTAATGGGTTATAGAACTTAAAGGTTAAGCACGGT